AAGGGGGGGGCGCGGGGGGGCTGTGAGGCCTCTGCCCCTCGGAGCATGCAGCGAGCGGTTGGGCCGGGAAGGGGCCCACATGGACACCCCGAAACTCAGAGACGCAGACCGATGCGGGGCGTGCTGGCAGGAGCACCGGCGTGGCCTCGGGCCCGAACTCCGCGGTCTGGGCTGACCTGTGGCGGGTGATTCCCGTCTCACTGGTCGAGTGGATTAAAGAGGCAGGCAGGGTGGGCTCAGCCGGCCAGGGGGCTCCTAGGAGATGACGCCATCCCTGCCGAGAAGGTAGGTCAGGGCGTTGTGCAGGTCGGCCAGGGTGAGGGCAGGGTGAGGCCAGGGTGAGGGCAGGGTGAGGGCAGGGTGAGGGCAGGGTGGGGGCAGGGTGAGGGCAGGCGTGGGTCAGCCTGGTCACTAGAGACAGACAGCGGGGCCTTTCTGTCGGGGAGCGTTGACCAGATCACAGAGATTAGTGCCGCTGCCACACCTCCGGGCAGGGTCTCCGTGCGGCCCCCTCACCCAGGGGAGACCCAGGTTAATAAATAACGGTGATGCCACTAGTGCTTTTCCATGAGCTGTGTTCGCTGCGCATTGTTTCATTTACTTCCCACGACTCCCTGTGAAGTGGGTGCCTTCATTATCCCATTTTGCAGATGAGGAAACTGAGGCTCCGCGAAGGGAAGGTCACAGACAACTGGAAGTCAGGGACCAAGGCTCGAACCCAGGGCCGGGGACAGGCAGCAGTGAGTGCCTTGGGCGGCCACCACTTCCAGGCCTGAGAACGCAAGAGAGGAAGGGTTCCCGGGGAGATGGGGGTCAGGGCGTGCCAGGGCACGAGGGGGGGGGGGCAGGAGAAGACCACGGGCGGCGCAGGGAGGACTCAGTCCGAAGAGAAGCAAACGCGGAATGGGTGCCTGCCTGCGCCTGCCCGTGCCCTCCCCACGCCAGGCAGGACGGAATGGCCCGGGGCTTGAGACTCAGGCGGCCGGGCAGTGCCCTCTGCGCTGCGCCGGGCACCTCCGCCCTCCACTATAGCGTGAGTGTGGGACAAGCCCCTTCCTAGTTCAGGAAAATAGCCTCCAAGGGGAATTCAGAGGCCAAGCCTGGCCTGGCAGGACCAGGGAACCCTTTCTGCTTTCGGAAACAGGTCTGTGCCAGCCCCACTGAGCGGGCCCGGCAGCACCCCCCGGACGGGGGCTCTGGGGCACGGGAGGGCCCAGCCTGGCTGCCAGGGTGGGTCCTGCCGCCCGCCCTCGGCCCTTCCTCCTTGTTCCCGGCAGGCAGCCCCCCTCCTGGAACACGCGGCAGGAAACAAAAGGCCCCGAGTGATTCCTGGGGAGGTGGCCGGTGGCAGTGGCAGGGCCAGTGGCAGGTGGCGAATTCTCGTGGACGAGCGGAAAATACTTCGCGTGAGACTCGAAGCTGGAGCCTCGTGAGAAGTGGTCGGTGGATGCGGGGCACAGGAGTCCCACGGCCTGGCTCTGCTGCTTGCTGGCTGAGTGACCTTGGGCTGGTCACGTCACTTCTCTGGGCCTCGGTTTTCCAATCAGTAAAAAGAGTAGCACTTACCACGCAGGGTTGTTGGAAAGATTAAAGAAGGTGATATTCATGAGCTGCTTGCTACAATGCCTGGTATGTAGTAATGCTATATAAGAATTTTTTTAAAAACAAGCAGGTGACAGATTAATTGCTGGAGCTGTTTCTGTGCTTTGCCCAGGGTGGCCGCAGGCATGGCCCCATGGGTGGGGGCTGCTCCCTTTCGTCCTCTCCTCGGGACTTGGTGCCCGGCCCCCGGGTTGCTCTTTTGTGGAGAGACCTGGCTTCGGAGCCTGACTTGGCCCTCACTCACTCGGTTATTTGGCCTCTTGGAGCCTCAGTTTTCCCGTCTGTGATATGGGCACAGCCATACCCCCAACAGGGTTGTCGTGAGGGACACAGGAGGGGCCTCCCCGGGCTTCCAGGCCATCCTGGTGGGGGTTGCGGGGAAGCTGCTTGTGAGTCCAAGACCCCGGGGGCAGCGGGGAGCACGTGGCCGTGGCGTCCCCTCCTGCCCGGCCACACCCGGCACACGGCTGCAGTCCGCGGCCAGGGTACGTGAGGACCCATCTGTAGCTGAAATCCGGCCCCGGCCGCGGGCAGGCTCGGCTCTGCCTTCTGCTGCGGCACAGCTGATGCGAGAAAAGCAACAGCTTTCGGCCCCTAACTTGGGCTGCACGCGCCCGGGCACAGGCTGGTGGCACATGTGGCCCCGGCCCACGCCCGCTCTCTCTCTGCCGCCTCCCTCGCAGCCCTCTCCCTTCCTGTGACTTTTCGAGCCCAGCCTCTGAGTGGGGCGCGGGCCCGGGAGGGGAAGGGCGACCGGGGAGGAGGGGCGGGTGGGCCTGGTCCGCACGTGTGGGCATGCGGCCGGCCTCACGGCCTCACGGCGGCTCTGCCTCGCCTGGGCCACGGGATCTCCGGGCAGACGTTGTGCCCATCTGAGCCTCAGTTCCTTCCTCCGTGAGGCCGGCGTAATACCCCTCGGAGAGTTTCACTCGGCGCTCTCTCCCGACTCCACGGCCCGTCACCCTGAGACACACCGTGGACGTCCCCTGGGCAGAATGGCGCGACACCCACACTCCCCCACACTCGCCCTGAGGCCCTGCCTCCTCACCCCACGGGGGGTGCTTGCAGCCGGGGCCGGGGCTCAGAAGCCGGCACTCAGCTGCACCTGCTCCCCAGAGGCCGCGTGCAGTGGCTCAGACACAGGCTCCGGCCGGCCAGGCTGTGTGACCGGGGCGGCCCCTGCACCCCGTCTGTGAAATAGGGTGCGAGCAGTGCCAGCCACGAGTGGTTACGGGGATGGCGTGAGTTATGTCTGGGAAGGGCTTAGCCACGGCCCCGGGCATGGTGGGTAACTGACCAATGCACGCACGGGTGGCACAAGGACAGGGTCCCCAACTTACAGGTGGGCTGAGCTGTCCCCACCCCCGTCACCCTGGGGCCCCCGGCGTGTGAGCCCCTCCCTCGGAGAGAGGTCGCCAGCCCTGCGGCTAAGAAGCGGAAGACAGGGGTCCCACCCCAGCGAGATCGGCGCCCGGGACGCTGCTGAAGAGAGAGGCGCCATCTGCCCACCCGTGTGGGCAAGCGGGCCTGTTGGGGCCTCCACTTGCCCAGCAAATTGCCAGGGGCCCAGCTCACTGCGGTCAATCCCCCCTCCGTCAGATGCCCCCCCAGACTAGATGTGCTCCAGCACCCGGCACAGAAACACTCGGAATGAGACAGGCCGAGGGGGCCCGGCAGGCAGCAGGGCCTGCCCCTGTCACCGTTTGGGGAGCACCTTCGGCTTTCAAAGCACTTTCCGTGGAATCGCATTCATCCCGGGGGTGGAGTCCTGGGCCCTCCCCTCAGGGCAGCAAGGCTCAGAACCCCTCCCTCCCCCAGAGCTGAAAGAGCCCTGCAGACCCCCCAGTTTCCCTTTTCCCTTTGGCTGCCAGGAAGCCCGGAGTCTGATGAGAGTTTTAGGTGCAGTTACGGGGCCTTTCTGTACGGCCCGTGTGTAATGGGTTCCAGTGGATCTCCCCAATCTTCTACCTTAATTGCTTAGTTTCTGTCCTGAGATGTACTGATTTTTAGATTTACGCTCTGCCTTCTCATGGTTTGTGGTCTCACGAGGCGCACACAGCGTTTGCTGTGGACACAAACAAACACTCACATTTGTTAACTGACAGTAGGACAAGCCAGTCCCAGCGCCTCCTCCCTCAGAAGAGGAATCTGAGGCCAGGACGGGCGGCCCCTCTCTGGCCTGGGGACGCGGCTCTTGGTCGGGGACGGGCAGCTCTAGGGCATGGCTGGACCCGGCCGGGTCACCGGCCTCAGCGGGCAGGGGCCGGGCCCCCCCACCCCTGAAGGTGGACTGGGGCCTGGAGGCTGGGCCGCAGAGCGATCGGGGTGGGGAGCGGCCTGCCTGGAGCGGGAGCCGCGCAGGTGGCTGAGACCGCCCGATGCGCTGCCTTCTTGCAGATTGATCGCCAGCGAGGGAGCGCGTGGATGCTGCCGGCCCGGCCCCGAGAGCCATGCGTCTTCGAGAGCGTGAGAGAGCGGATCCCAGCGCAGGCTCCCTGGGGTGACACTGTTCATGGTGTGTCTCTCGGGAGTGGAGTGGGCGTGCGGGGGAGGAAGGCGGGGCCTCGGGGACTCTCAGCAGGGAGAGCCGGGCCGCTGGGGCCTTTCTGGGCCTTTCTGGGCCTTTCTGGGCCTTTCTGGGCCTCGGTTTCCTCACATACGAGGGGGTGGCTGGCGTTCCTGCGTTCGGGGTGGCATCCCTGTGCCCCCTGCTCCTCGGGAGGGAGCGGGCGGAGCCTCTGGGCCTGGGTCCCCTCGTGCTCCAATAGCAGCCCCTGGATGAGCCGGCGTTGCTGAGCGCTACCCGCCTGGCAGGTGCTGTCTGACGCCCGTGTCCGAGGCACAGGCTGTCTTAGCCCCATTTGGTAACAAGGCCCGAGGCACGGAGGTTACGGGATGTGTCGGCGGCCACTCGGCCGGTGCGTGGAGAGCCCGGACTCAGACGCGGTCTGTGTTTGTTTATGTATTTATTTATTTACTAGAGGCCCAGTGCACGAAATTCGTGCAAGGGGCTCGGCCCTTGCCGCCCTGGCTTCGTCCGGAAGGTCATCCGGAAGGTCGTTTGGCTGTCCGGTCTAATTAGCATATTACGCTTTTATTATTATAGATTATTTTAATATATTTTTATTGATTTCAGAGAGGAAGGGAATGGGAGGGAGGGATAGAAACATCAATGATAGAAGAGAATCATTGATCGGCTGCCTCCTGCACATCCCCTATTGGGGATGGAGCCCACAACCCGGGCACGTGCCCTGACTGGGAATCGAACCCAGGACCCTTCAGTCTACAGGCCAACGCTCTATCCACTGAGCCACACGGCGAGGGCCACAGTCTGTATTTAGAGCGTGTGGCGTGAGGGTGACGCTGGCACCGCGTCGCTGCTGTGAAGATGGGAGGGCCCATCCCAGGAGGCTCGCGGCTGGTGTCAGACACATCCCTGTGGCCTGCACCTGTGGTCATCCCTTCAGACTCCACCTCCCGCCCCTCCCCGGGCCCAGGTGGGAAATGTCCTGGGCTGGCCTGGGAGCTGGAGGGGGCCCTGTTGGGGTCTCTCGCAGCACATCAGCCTGTCCCTGTGGGCACCGGGGACTGCGGGCGAGCCAGGGGACCTGCCGTCTCCCCCGTCCCAGAACCCTGCTCGGGGCCACCTGGAGGGAGGACACAGCCATGCCCTCCGCCCTCCCGGGACCCCTCGGTTCCTGGGACCCACTGCCAAGGGGCTTTTCTCCCTGAAACCTGTTCCCAGGGCCAAGCCCAAGGGGACCCTGGGATGAGGGGACCAGGCCCAGTGTAGGGTGCTTGAGCCAGCAGCCCCCAAGCCCCTGGTGAGGGGGTGTTACCCAGGCAGCACTTACATCTGCTCAGTCCAGGCCTCCCTCAGGCAGAGCCAGTCATGGACGGGGCAGCATCCGGTCACAGGTCTCCCTGCCAGGAAGTCTCGGGGTTCTGTTAAGTGACGTCACCACAAATAGAGGCTTGGGGTCTGCCAGGGCCAGTGCGAGCCCTCCAGGGGTGTCATTGCAGGCAGTTCTCCCTACAGCCTTCTGGGGGGGGTCACCCCACTTGGCAGAGGAAGACCGAAGCCCTAGGGTGGCAGGGGGTCCCCCTGAGCAGGCTGGGGAGGCATTGAGTGGCGTGTTTCCCAACAGCCAAGAGTGTGAGCTAAGGGGGACCCTTATGCCAGGAAGGGAGTGCCTCAGGGGGCCTTGGGGTGCGTCGGGGCGAGGAGGGGGTGCGGGGCAGCGGAGGGAGGCTGCGCTGAAGGGCCCGAGAGCGTGTGTGAGGATGAAGGACGTGCAAGGCCCTGGCCCCAGGGGCTCTCGGCCAAGCTGGGCCAGGGATGGGCAGCAAGAATGGGCGAGTTTCCTGTAAGACAGCGAGTCCAGGGCTGCAC